CGGATGCATATGCATATGCATCCGAAGAAGTGGGCTGTAGTCCACGAAAGCTTATGCTCTAATAAATTTGTTAGTCTCTAAGGTGCCACAAGTCCTCCTGTTCTTCTTTTTGAAGATACACTAGTGTACCCAAGAGGACTGTCTGGGACTCCATGTTAAGGCTGTTACAGTGCTTGAGGAGTTCACACTTTATACTTGCTTGGTGAAATCTAAATATAGAACTCACAACCAATTAGGGGTTTGTGCCCTGCTTCATCACAGTCTGCCTGAGGTTGGCACTCACGCTCTTGAACCACTCCAGGTAGCTTGACAGTCTTATACACCAGAAGGTCTGTTTCAGTATATTTAAGAATTTTTCTTGGCCTCACTGAGAAGTTAGTTTCTTTAAGGCATTGATGTATCTCTGCCTCTCATATTGTATGAAAAAAGAGGTTCATTGTGCATTATCAGTAATAGTCTAATAGGGACTTTTACACTTTTCGAGGGAGATTAGGGGTCTCCAGGCACACCTTCTCTCCTAAGAAGAATGTGACTGTTCCTGCTGTGATGATTGAGAATGAGTTCTCTTGGGATTCCCTCCCGGCAGCAGCAGGCAGCCTGGCTGTTGAAGAGAAGTTCTTCAGCTGCAGGGTAAGATGATTAGGCATAGGGCATCCTATAGCAACTGAAAGGAGCAGGATCAAGCACTCCTAAAGTCGTGCATTATTGGTGATCGGTACAGGTAATTGTGACTACCCTCTAGCTCCCTGAGACTGGTTGAAAGGCCACAATCAAAGAACAGTTATCAATGGTTTACTGTCAACCTGACAGGATATATCTAGTGGGGTCCTGCAGGGGTCTGTCCCTGGTCAGGTACTATTCAATATTTTCATTAATGAGTTAGATAATGGACTGGAGAATATGCTTGTGAAATTTGTGGATGACACCAAACTGAGGTGGGATGCATGCACTTTGAAGGACAGGATTAGAACTCAAAACAATCTTGACAAATTGGAGAATTGGTCTGAAATCAACTAGATGAAATTCAATAAAGAGACATGCAAAGTACTATACTTAGGAAGGAAAAATCAAATGCACAACTACAAAATGTAGAATAATTGACGAGGTAGTAATACTATTGAAAAGGATTTGGGGGTTATAATGGATCATGAATTGAATAGGCGTCAACAATGTGATGCAGTTGTGAAAAAGGCTAATGTTCTTGGGGGCATTAACAGGAGTGTCTTATGTAAGACAGGCGAGGTAATTGTCCCACTCTCCTCGGCACTGGCGACATCTTAGCTGGAATACTGTGTCCAGTTCTGTGTGCCACTCTTTAAGAAAGATGTGGACAAATTGGAGCGAGTCCAGAGGTGACCAACAAAAATGATAAAAGATTTAGAATACTTACCTGTGAGGAAAGGCTAAAAAAAATGAGTATATTGTCTTGAGAAGAGAAAACTGAGTTAAGGACCTGATAAGTCTTCAGGCATGTTAAGAGGTGTTGCAAAAAGGATGGTGATCAATTGTCCTAATATCCAGTGAAGGTAGTTACAAGAAGTAATGGGCTTAATCTGCAGCAAGGGAGGTTAGATATTAAGGAAAAACTTTCTAACTATAAGAGTTGTTAAGTACTGGAAAAGGCTTCCAAGGGAGGTTGTGGAACCCCTGTCATTGGAAGTTTATAAGAACAGGTGGACAAACACCTGTCGGGGATGATGTAGGCATACTTCATCCTGCCTTAGCATAGGGGGCTGGAATAGATGGCCTCTCAATGTCTCTTCCAGCCCTTTATGTCTATGATTTTGTACTCATCAGGGAGAGATGGCAAACACATACATCTTCCTCTCCCAACTCCAGAAAGATATAGGTGAATTGGACATAGCATGCTTCTCCAAAAGAGTGCTTCAGTCATTGGGTGGTTGCTGCTCGGGAGAATTGTGGACAATTTTCCTCCTCCTAGAAAACAAGGCTTTGGCCTTTTTTTGCTCCATTGCTATAAGCAGAGCTGCCACCATCTTCTTTAATCCCTGTCATGGTGGCCCTTTGTTGTACCACCAATGTACAGGGAGGCAAGAAGAGACAGGCTGTCTGAACAGTGGTTTTTATCCCACAGATCACGTGCCAGAGCAAGGGATTTAGCTTCCCAAAAAGTAGAGGGTGTGGCTGGCCTTGCACAGGTCTTGTTTCCTCCTCTGAAAGTGGAAGAAGACTATTTAAGAAGTTATCTAGTTAAATACTTTTTCCCCTTGTAGCCATAGTTTCCTTAGCTTTTCTTCCTGACAAATCTCATTGATATGCATTTTTATCAATTTTATATCAATCATTCTTCCTTGTTTCCTTGCCAATTTGTCTGAGATCATGAAAAGCATGGGTCTAGGTCTGGAGAGACTGTTCTCTGTATGAAAATTAATTTCACTCACTTTCTTTCCTAAATCTCTTAATTTAAAATCAGTTTCCTTGCCCACTTTTTCAAATTTTAGTACAATTCTGTACCTGTTTCTGTTCTCATTTCTTCTCTTTCCCTTGTTTGCCATATGACTAATGCCTAAATACTCCTTTCGAGTCCTCCTTTCCTTGTCTTTGTATTTTTTTCAGTATTGTACCATGTGCTTGGAACTTCCTCCCTTAGTTCACTAAACAATCTTCCCTCTTTGCATTTGAATCCCCCTTTTAAAGCACTTCTTTGCAAACCCTTTCAGCTGTAACTCGCAAAGTACTGACTGCATACTCACCCCCTTTGAATTTACCTATGTATTATGTATTTACTGATTATTTATGAATGTAGTATGTACTATCTTGTTTGTGATGTACTGTCTAATTAAGATTGAAAAGTCCTTAGGGAGGGAAAGTGAATGTATCTGTCCTTTACAATATGTAATACACTGTTGGTATTCAGTAAATTAATACTAAAGAAACCATAGGATGGAGGTAATTACCGAGAATTAAGTTCTCTTTTGAAAGTGAGCCATGTTTTTGTTTCTTTTACAGAAAAAGATAACGCTAAATATGTTTTTAGACACATTGATGGTTGATCCACCCCCTCAGTGCCTTGTGTGGCTACCTCTCATGCACAGACTTGCACATGTAGAAAATGGTAAGTTAAATATTTATTATGTCTGAAATTTCTGTTCAGAAAAGTGTATATACGGTGATCTTTTCCAGAAATTGGCTCTTAGCGTTTGCTTTCTCTGATTGTTCCCACTGTATGGTGTTAGTCCCAGAGCATTCAGGGACTAATTCTCAGAGAAGCTAAACACCCCCAGACCCCACTGACTTCAGTGTGAATTGTAGTTGCGCATCACTTCTGAAAACAAGACCTTATAACTACACAGAAAATTAAGCAATAATCTAGAACAATCCTATTATTTTAAACTTTTCTTTTTAATTTGAATATTAACATAATTAACAACACAGGATTTAAAATAAAAAATATAACCTTCAGAAAAAACAATTTCGGCAAATGAACAAGCTCCGTCGACAACTGTTAAAGGATTTTCACTTGCATTGCACTTTAACAAGTATTATCAATTGATGATGTGGAAGATTTTTGGGTGCCAGTTCAGGTGTCCTTGCTGAGTGTCTCATGAGTGCACCAATCACTTTCTGCCTCCCACCATGAACAACATGAGGGCTGAGCTCTCTCTGTCCACATCCAGTGCTTTCCTTAGCTACAAGTTCCCAGTTACGCCTACACAAGAAGGTATTTCTCTGAGAAGTGATTAGGGTTTGAAAAACTGGAGAAGGCTAAAAGGACAACAGATATACTTCTTGTGGTAAGGTATTGCGTGCAACCTGGTCTTTGACTGGCATGCTAGATACGCATTGTGTCCAGAGTCGGAGTGTGGCTTTTGTGCTGGCTGTGGCATCATGGACATGATTTTTGCAGCCTGACAAATACAAGAGAAGGTTTGTGAACAGAACAAGGACCTGTACATGGTGGTGGTTCACCTGATCAAAGCCTTCAACATGGTGAATCATAAGAGCCTACGGAAACGTCTTCATAAATTTGGTTGCCCAGAGAAGATGATTGTGGTCATCTGCTCATTTCACGATGACATGATGGCCAGGGTGATGGTCCGTGGTGACTCATCAGAAGCCTTCCCTGTCACCAGCAGCAGCACGAACAAAGATGCGTAATGGCTGCAGTCCTCTGTGCTGTGGTCTTTTCAGCCATGTTCTTGTTCGCATTCCAGGACTTTGACAGAGGTGTACACATCCAGATTGGATGGGGGTCTATTCGATCTAAAACTCAGGGCTTGCACCAAGGTAACTGAACAACTCTTAAGAGAGCTCCTGTTTGCTGATGACTGTGCCCTCATGGCACACATGCTTAAGGACATTCAACTTATCGTGGATGGTTCTGCCTATGCCTCAACATGCTTCAGTTTCATAACCAGACGGCACCATACCACCAGCATCATTGATCCCACGATCCCATCATCACAGATGAGAACACACCCCTCAACTCGGTCAGGAAATTCTCTAACTGGGTAGCATACTTTCCAGCAATGCGCTGTTGTATGACGAGTTCAGTCAGTGCATGGCAAAGCCAGTGTGGTATTTAGCAGGCTCACTCACAGGCTCTGGAGGGAGCATGGAACCTACCTCAGGACCAAGATAAAAATCTATGCACTGTTATACTCACCTCACTCCCATATGGCTGCAAGACATGGATGCTGCACTAATGCCACATCGAACAGCTGGAGAGCTTCCACCTTTGCTGCATAAGATCCATCTGCAACATCAAGTGGCAGAACAGGATCCCCGCCACTGAAGTCCTTGAGAGGTGCCAAATCCCTGGCATGGAGAGTATGCGCCTAAGGGCTCAACTTCACTGGGTCGGACACGTGATCTGCATGGAGGTTTTCCTGCGTACTGAAAAGGGTGTTCTACCTCCAGCTGAGCACAGGAATCTGCCCTAAGCGTCGACCCTTCTTCAGATACAAAGCATGCAAGGCCAATCTCAAAGCATGCAAGGTAGATATTAAAACCTGGGAACTCATTGCACTGAACAGACCCAGATGAAGAGTTCTGTGCCATGAGGCCAAGTCTACTTCTGAGGAGTGGTTTGTGAGGTCTTTGCAGGAGCAGAGAGCATAAGAAATTAGAACAGCCATACTAGGTCAGACCAAAGGTCCATCTAGCCCAGTATCCTGCCTTCCGACAGTGGCCAGTGCCAGGTCCCCCAAAGGGAATGAACAGGACAGGGGATAATCAAGTGATCCATCCCCTGTTGCCCATTCCCAGCTTCTGGCAAACAGAGGATAGGGACACCATACCTGCCCGTCCTGGCTAATAGCCATTGATGGACCTATCCTCCATGAACTTACCTAGTTCTAGAACATGTCTTAAGGCCAACACCTTGAAGCCTCCCTCCCCTCCTCAAAAATGATTACATGTGCAAGACATACAACTGCATTTGTAAATCCAGAATTGCACTCACTTCCCATGTGAGAAGCCATAAAATCAAATAAATCCAGAATTTAAGTCAATTCAAATTGCAAACACCTAGAAGATAAGTAACAGTCAGCATGGATTTGTCAAGAACAAATCATGTCAAACCAACAGGGTAACAAACCTTGTGAATAGGGGGAAACGGTAGATGTGGTATATCTTGACTTTAGTAAGGCTTTTGACACTGTCTTGTGTGACCTTCTCATAAACCAACTAGGGAAATTTAGCCTAGAGGGAATTGCTATAAGGTGGGTGCATAACTTGGAAAACTGTTCCCAGAGAGTAGTTGTCAGTGGGTCACAATCAAGCTGGAAGAGCATATCAAGTGGGGTTCCGCAGAAATCGGTCCTGTTCAATATCTTCATCAGTTATTTAGGTAATGGCATAGAGAATACACTTTTAATGTTTGCAGACGATACCAAGCTGGGAGGGGTTGAAAGTGCTTTGAAGGATAGGATTAAAATTTAAAATGATCTGAACAAACAGACGAAATGGTCTGAAGTAAATAGGATGAAATTCAATAAGGACAAATGCAAAGTACTCCACTTAGGAAGGAACAGTCAGTTGCACACATACAAAATGGGAAATGACTGCCTAGAAAGGAGTACTGCAGAAAGGGATCTGGGGGTCATAGTGGATCACAAGCTAAATATGAGTCAACAGTATAACACTGTTGCAAAAAAATGCAAACATCATAGCAGGAGTGTTGTAAGCAAGACACGAGAAGTAATTCTTCCACTCTACTCCATGCTGATTAGGCCTGAGCTGGAATACTGTGTCCAGTACTGGGCAACACATTTCAGGAATGATGTGGACAAATTGGAGAAAGTCCAGAATCAGGAATGGTCTAGTTATTACTTAGTCCTGCCTTGAGTGCAGGGGATTGGATTAGAATACCTATTGAGGTCCATTCCATTCCAGTCTGTTAGTCTATAAGGGTGCCACAGGACTCTTTGCTGCTATTCCAGTCCTATCTAGTCCAACCCCCTGCTCAAAGCAGGACCAACAACAACTAAATCATCCCAGCCAAGGCTTTGTCAAGCCGGGCCTTAAAAACCTCTATGAATGGAGATTCCACCCCCCCCCCCCAGGTAACCCATTCTAGTGCTTCACCAGGATGGAAACAAGACTGGGTGCAGGGCAGGAGCTGTAGGGGAGCAGAGCAGGAGCAGGGCTTGGTGAGAAAGAAGCGCAGAGAGGCAGATAGTCGGTGGACATGTGCATTGAGCAGCCAGTGAGCCGCTGCTGCTGCTGAGCTAAGACTGGCCTGCTAGCTTCCTCAGCCAGTCAGGCAGGGCGTTCCGTCAGGCAGCGTAGCTGGCTCGTTAGGATGTCGGGAGTACTGAGCAGGTGCAGCCACAGGGCCTTACTCTTGACAGTATGTCTACTCCCTCATAGTCTTGAAAGTCAACATCACAAGAGGGTGTCTGCACACCCCTCCTCCTTGGGCTTGGCTTTGAAGAGGGTTCTGTGGCTTATCACCAAGGGGCAGCATATCCTACACGTGTGAGTTCACGTATGTGACTGACTTTCGAAGAACAGTTGTTGGTAACAAGTATCAGAGGGGTAGCCGTGTTAGTCTGAATCTGTAAAAAGCAACAGAAGGTCCTGTGGCACCTTAACGACTAACAGAAGTATTGGGAGCATAAGCTTTCATGAGTAAGAATCTCACTTCTTCAGATGCAAGACTCTTGCATGCTTCAGTTTTTGAGGAGATGTGCAATATAATACCAATAGTATTCCATTCAGTGGGCCTTCTAATCCATTTTGTTAGATTTCTGTAGAAATAAGGTCCATGGAAGAAAATAGAGTTTTGACTGAAGAAGAAGAAGCCATCGTAAATCCAAGTGGAAGAAATTCCTACATTCTACTTCCCTCCTTCCCTCTGTAAAAGAGGAAGAAATGTAGGAAAACATACCCAAGTAGTGTGAAAAGTTATTTTTCTCCTTTTTACACTTGACTGTCCTGTCACCCTAGCTAGGTATTTATATTTTTAGAAATATTTTAATAGATTGAAAACTCCTTGGAACAGGGATCATGTCTTTATCTGTGCCTATATTGTAGGCACCTAACAAATTAGTTGTATATGAACTTCAGCAAATTATCTGACTAACTTGTTTCTTTGGATTTATTTTTAAAAGATGATGCAGACAATAAAATATATCTGACCTATTCCTTTGCAAAGAAGATTACTTTAGTAGTGATATTTAATCCAGGGAAAAGTCGAGAGGGAAGAATGTATTCCCAATTATTTGTTAACTGGTCACTCCTCTACTCTTGTGAACTGCTCAGGTAGTTTTCCAGTCAAATATTGCAGCCCTGTCACCATAGCCTCATTTTGTGGAAAACTAGGCTTTACCTCTCTCACCAAATCAGAAGAAAGTTCCTGATGAAAATGGTAGTTGCTACCCTTCCTAAGAGGAGCAGGAAATGGACAGTTCATGAAACCTGCATGATGTCCTGTTTAGCAGGTCCAAAGAGTATCAACTTCACCAGTCTAGGACCAACAGGCTGCCCCTGTTGTTGTGAGAGGCTACCGGTGTGGTGCTTCTGCTTTCTCCTGTTGATATCACTCGGCTGCGTGCGTGTGTTCCCTCTG